CCTTTCTGCACGATCTCCACGTTTAGTGCGTTACTACTTCCCCAATTCTCCAGAAGTATTTGGCCGCAATGAATGAAAAGTCTGTTTGAGAAATGGTTCTTGGATTCCTAGCTAACTTGTCGCAACAGCTAATAAATGGACGTCGGCACTGCATGTACCGCCAGGCCTCGTCTTGGGCATGGGTGGGTGGGAGGAAAAGTTTTCCTTTAGCTGGGTCCGGGTTTTTTATGGCTTCCCAAAATTGTTTATTCAAATGCTCCGTTTGTATGTGTAACTCTTGCCCTACTTGAATAAGAAAACACTTCTTCCCAGTAAATCTCCCAACTTCTTTCTTCCCCTTCGCTCATTGATCATTGAACTCCAACAACAATTTAATACTACAATTGGAGAATTGCTTCGTATGTAGGGACCAAAAAATTCCAATTAAATTTGTTCTTGTCAACCAGTTCTACACGTCCTTCCAGATATCACAGCACACGCTTCCTGTGCGTGTCCTATTCTTAGCAACTTTCAACGACGAAGAGATTTGAAAATGTCGAGAAAGAAAGTCGAATGCATGAAATCAGTTAACTTTCTTAAGCACTTGAATGCGCAATGTTAAAGTGTTTCACAATGAAATTTCTGGGTCTAGGGTAGCTCGTCGAAAACATGGTTGTCGAAAGAGTAACTCGTCGAGGACGAGTCGTCTGAAGGGTAACTCGTCGTTTGGGCAAGTGGCCGAAAATAATACTTGTCGAGAGTATTTTTTAAAAATAAAGTATGTTTTTTGAACATGACTAAAAAAGTTCACCCAGTTCGAGTTTAGTTTGACCCTTAAATTGAACGATACTTTCAATTTTCGGAATGTCACTCTTAAATCATCGGGCTGAACAAATGCGAGACCGAATATTTTTTTATTAATAATGCCATTGTAACGTATCGGTCGTACTGGTTCTTTAAATTGGGTGTCAAACGTCTAAACAACGCTTGAGTATAGTGAAAATGACACCCCTGAAGTACGGCATCTGGAAACGTGTCGTGTACAGCTTTTATCTCAGCTTGTGTATAATCCATCAGAACAGCTTATCTTAAGTTTCTCTTTGCTGCGTTACATTAGTTCGTAACAGTAATTTGACATTTTTAATGTAAAATGTAAGGGTAAAAAGAACAAAACAATCCTCTCAATTACTGCTGCATAGTGTTTTAAGTATTTTGGAATGTCCGCAGCGTATATTCGTCCCACGATGCACATGTATTGTGCATACGTGTGAACTCATTATATAGGTAAAATCAGTAAACATGTTACATGAAATTCGACGAGTTTCATGCCACCTAAATTCGACGACTTGCCTTTCTGACGAGTTTTTCATTCGACAAGTTGATTTCGACGACATAGGATTCGACAAGTAACCCGTATCCCGAAATTTCTAGAGTGCTGTTGCTGTTGAAACTTTGCCGAAATATTGATCTATTGCATAAATACTTGGACAAGTTGGTGTTTAATAGTTGGTATTCTTCTTGTTGCATTTCATTGTCTTGCATAAAATTAGTTGGAATTTGTATGCAATACTTTCACCATGACTGATGCATGTATGCAGTTGGGGCAAAGTGATATTTTAGAAAAAAAATGAAAAATTAGGAATATAAGTATGTAATATGTCTCATCCTGAATTGAAGAACCCTTCATGAGACGTGGACCTTTGAGGTCTTTGAAATTCTAATATTTTCTTCGAGAGCAGAACAAACGTAGCGTATCAATTACTCTGAGAAGTTTAACAAATAAATACATTATTAAAAAGAACCAATTTTTTTATATTAACAAGAGATGATTCACCCTCAATTCTGTAACATTATGATAAAAACGGTTTAATCTATGCGACAAAGCAGGTGGGCATACATACGAATGAGAAATGGAAAATGACTTGTTGACTGATTGAATTAAATTTCAATTGAAGAAAACGAACAAACAATCTCCCTCAATCACTTGAAGAAATGTTTTCCACAAACAAACATCAACATTCCACCCACCGCGTTGGTCTTCCCTTTCATTCATCTCTTTTCCTCTCTCGTAAATAATACAATTTCAAAAGGAACGAGAACATGTTGGAGAACGTCTCAACGTGGGATTGAAAACAAATTGATTGACTTATTGAATACCGATTTCGATTATACAACGACAAAGTCATGACAGACGGTCAGTCACGTTTACTCAAGATCTATACGAATGGATTACATCCATGTTTTCGCCATGGCATCATGTGTCATCGAGAACATAATTCTCCTTTCACGCTACACCACATGTTTCTTGGGCACATTCTTACTTACCTGAATTGATATATTGACAACTTAGATTCCGATTTAGATTACCAAAGCCATTATTGTATCCGTCTCAACGCCACCAAAGTGAGCGTTAAGTTATGAACCGGTGGTGTTGCGTGGAGTGGAGTGGGGATAAAGACTGCAAGGAATTTAGATCTTGTCGATGGATTAAATGAGCCTATAAATAATGTTTTTCGCCACTCAGCACTTTAAGCAATGCAGTCTCGGGACTCGGGTGAAATATAAATTAATTCTGCATTTTAGATTCAGAATGGAACGCGGCTCCCAAATTGCAAAAGTGCAGAATGCGAATAACAAGTTATTGTGATATTTGTATTCAATTCAGTCCACACTTAAAAAGGGAAAGAGAGCAATTTTATCATATTTTGTATTCTCGGAGGAGATTTATTTAAAGCAAAGAAATGAGTTAAATACAGTCGTAAATAAAAATTGGCAGCAAATCCAAACCCTCAATTTCTCTAGCCAAGCAACCCAGTTCGTAATAAAATGTTTACTTTGCATAAGAAGAAAATAAAATCATTACAAACGCGTGGTGGACGCTCTCCAAATAAGAAAAGTAGCAGCATCATTCTTTGCCAGAATGGAATATTATTGCCCCATAAATTATGTCCAACCTAATAAAACAACGAGTAAAATCTCGCCACTAACGACGCTGTTGTCATCTAGTAAAGTTTAAACAGCCAAAATGCAGTAAAAATAAAATGTGACACAAGCTCTTCTATGGTCCTCGTCGTACGTAATGCGAGAGCGACAAGAGGAGAACACGGCAATAAAGTACCAAATCAAATAATAATAAGCTAATTATCTCATCAGTTATGGTTTTTATGAGTCGCTAAATTTATAAATACAAGTGGTAGTAAAATCTGGAAATTACATATACCGATTCCTCATAATTTAAGGGCCCAATAAGCAAGTTCATCCAAATTAACCTGATGATCATTTAGTAGAATTGGATAGGGTTTAAATCTGGCGTTCCACATAAAATCTCCTACACACACCGACCGCTTGATAAATTGCATTACATTACTTCACGTCACCTCCACGAGTTGGTGAACTAGAAAAGTAATGACGACCGAGGAAGAAAGGGGGGCTGAAAGGAGGCGACAATCTGCACGCGTTATTACTACTGGGAACACGCAGTTAGTGAAAACATAACATTATTATGCGCATTTTGATGATGGAATGACACAAATTTCGCAATCTTGCTCTTCTTCTTCTCCATCCGTGGAATTATTATGGCACCGTCAGCACTCCGGTTTGAGTGTCGGTTGAGTGATCAAGGCAAGAGGATTGTGGTGCACGAGGTACAAATTCATTGGGCGATTGACATTTTGTGCGACGTTGCAGCAGTAATAATAACATTTGTAGCCTATCATTACGCACTAAATATATGATATGAATCAACCCTGATTTCAAATAAGCAGCCATTCCATTTGCTCCCGATAATTAAAGATCTTGTTGAAAATAGAGTAAAATCAATCAAGTAGTAGTATCCGTGATGCAACCTTGTGTGTGTACGATTGCATCGCGTTGCTAAATGCAGATTTTACGAGTTAAAACACTGGAACGTACCACTAATGGGCTGACTCATCTGTCTCGTTCTATTAGCCAATAAAGTATATTTTCAGTGATAGTTGGCAAGAAGGCTGGATTGAAGCTTCAACCACTACGACACAATGAGTACGCAAATGCGTGAATGGCGTGGAAGGCAAGCGAGATAAAATCACGGATTAAAGAAGATCCAATGCAATCCGACTGATTTAGCAAATCCGAAAATAGATCAGGACAACTTCACTTCGAGTTACTAACACCTTGTGCACACACATTTCCTCGGATTAAGTTATGCCACGCACGCACTTGTGCGTCGTTGTTGTTGTTACATTACCTCGTGATCATGATACGAGTGTAATCGTACGTACACATCAGCTACTACTATCGCCAATCTACTACGGCATCTACTACGTACCACGACCAGTTCGTATACAGGAAGACCATGAAAAAGTAAATCTTGATAAATATTTTGAAAAAGATGGCTGCAGGTGGATGGATTCGAGTCATTCGAGTGATATGACTTGATTGCATAAGAAAGCACATCATGATGATCCACTATTCAACGTATATTTTGCTGGGTGCTTTTGTTGAAATTCTTATTTTTCTCGAAAACTCGTGTATATTATGCCCTCGATCTAGGAGGCTCGATTCACAAACCAGTCGTCTTGTAGTGAACTAGTTCATAGTTCAAAACTAAATCCACGCCAGAAGAGCTAAGCTTACATGATACTCTCCAAACGTCAACATACTTTCCACAAGTTCAGGATTTTAGAGCACTTTAAATTTATTTTAATGCAGTCGACGTGTGTCTCTCTATTTTATTCTCGTAGTTGTTGTTGGTGCTCGATTTGGTCCCAGAAACATTGTTTGCCCATGTCAATTTAGGTGGTCGTGGGAGTAAGTGAATTAGGATTTTGATGTTCTGGATAATGCATGCACACGTGGCAGGACAGTTTATCAATGCACCAATTATGAGAGGATAATAATGTGTTGTAGTGCAGGCCAGCTAAAAATATGAAATTCTACCAAAATAGCACACCACACATTATGAATTTATTGCATTGAGTGCATTTGCACCAAGCACCCTCATGTTTATGAAATATGTAAGAGAGCAAGAAACATAAACTTACACATGGCAGCCCCCAGAACCCAAACTTCAGGTTTTGAGTGGAGTTCCACCAGAACGGGTGGCATGCAAACGAGGAGGATGAGAAGATCCGCCACGCTGAGATTGACTAGAAAGATGTTTGTGGAACTTCGAAGTTCTTTGTTCTTCCAGACGACGACGGGAACGAGGAGGTTGCCCACGATCCCGATGAAGAGGATGATTCCGCAAAGCAGGGTGGAGGTGGTTCGAATGTAGTGGGGAAAGTATGGTTCTGCAAAGCTGTCGTTGTCTCCACCCATCATGAAGTCGGTTTGGTTGAGAAGCCCCATAGCTGAGGAGACATTGTTCCAGGTGGAAGGGCTCGCAAATTCCTCTTCGGTCTGCTCCCCATAATCCAAAAGCGGGTTTCCACTCCCTTTGCCCACTCCCTCGCCGCCAGGAATGAGGAAATCCGACGACTGGAGACTCATCTTAAGACTCTCGTTTCCCCAATGCAGAGCCTCCCGAAGAATCCGTGAATGGAATCCGGGTGTGGCATGAGACGCCGACGAGGAGGAGGAGGGAAAGCCGGCTGAGTGGTAGTGGTTTTTAGCTGATTCTTCTTGATCCATTGTGGCTTATCTTGTGACACTAATTGTAAATCAGAAGGAAAATATCAGTCACAGTTAAGCACGTTCTTGGGAACTTTGCATTTTTCGAGGTTTATATAAGCTTACAGCTTGAGAGAGATAAACTCTAATCAAAGTTTGTCTCATTATCTCCAAAATGGCAGTAAAAAGCAGTAAAATTAAATTCGAAGAGTGTATTCTTGAGTATATTGCGAGACGAGAGGAGCATAAGAAAAGTAGTAAAGTCTCAAAATTAAAGTACCACATTAGTGGTTAAACAGCAACAGCTTGAGAGCACTCTCCTCTCGAGAGTTGGCAACAGATATTTTGCAACTTTTACATCACCGTGATCCCAGACGAGACGGGGAGATTGGAACACTACGTACGTATAGCAGACGACCAGACATAAGGTAGCCGAAAAGAGTGCTTTCTTCCTACGTGATCAGTTTCCATATCCCGATCGGAATCCCTTGTTTTACTTCTCGAACACACCATGTTTTCTCCCATCGGCCTGCCTGCGTAAGCATTTAAGTACTCCAAACTTACTGTACAAATAAATCTAATATTGCATGGGAAGTTTGACCATTCGCAACCTGCGGAACCACCCAACTTTTTGCACATATTCTTCAACTTTTGAACTTCAATGGGTCTGAGAGTGATGAGATGAGATTATCGTTCTCAAAAGATGCCAGGTATGCTGTAAAGTGTACAATTACTCGAAAAACATCTCCAACTCGCTTCCGCCCTCGGTTTTGTTCATTTTATTTCACTCTCAAGTTTGCATGAGTGCAAAAACGTAGACAATTTTTTTAAGCTCCAGTTACAAACATGTCTTTTTGAGCTGGCAAATGGTTCTTGAAAATTGGCAATTAGAAATTGTTGGAGTCAATTCAAAAGTTTGTTTGTAAATAAAATTATTACAGCTTCACCTAGTTCTTGACGGAAACGGCCAACTATCAATCAATCCTCCTCCTCCTTATGCTTGTATGTAGTTTCTTCATAGCCCACATTCCAAGTCGTGTCGAAGTTTGTCATAAAATTCGTCATAATGGCCTCGGCCAAATTGAATTATTACTTCCACCAGAAGATTAGAACTTGTACCAACTTTATTTTATTCATTTCTCAGGGACAGCGAACAAGGGAAGCTGCTTGTACTCATTATATGGGAATCATCAAGATCCAATTATATCTCATGAATACGAAGAAATGGAAATTTCCAAGATTCCCGTGCATTTTAATTTGATTCCCACGTTGCAGGAATGCAGAATAATACACTTGCTGTACTTTTGTAACGATTTTCATCAAGAAATCGAGGATTATGGAACCAACTTGATGATGAGATTCGACGTTTCTTTTGAAGAATCAACTTCACGGAATGTGAGCAGAGAGGAAATACGAAAAATTGGATCTGCCCACATTGTCAAACATTTATTTGACATTTCCCTGCAGCCTTGTTGAATGGATTTTTGATCCCTGTCTTAGCTTTGTTGAAACAACTCGTTACATTTCCGCTGTGCAACTAAATTGGATTGTATCTATCATCTCGTAAATTGTCAATTTCATACATACACACACACATGCATAATAACCCCGAATAATAATTTACGCAACATTTCGCAACATTCACACTGACGTGAATGACACATTAAATAGTTCTCTCCATAGACAGACTATGGATTTGTTTTCCTTCCGTCTACCACAATTTGGAGGCTGGGTAACAATGCAATGACGAATGGAAGTGTTTACGTATTTGCGCATTTACATCCTAGGAAAACACTTGACTCGGTAACATCTTCGTCCGCAGCGGAGCACATCCATCACTTTTGTTTGTCATTACAATACGTGATTCTGCTCTTAGTTTGTGGGTTTAGTTCAGCAACAATTGCCAGATTGACGCGACCTAGCCAAAAAACTGTAACCTGCACGACGAGCAGATGAGATAATACATGAGCAGAAAGGCACATACATTATGTAAATATTTAAATGGTGAACTTTGTGGTTATGTAATCCATCAAATATTGTAAATGCTTACTCAAAGTTTTGATTCTCAATCAGTAATCAGTAGCTTAAGGATTGATGAAAATAATGGGAATTTTTATTCTGATGCGAACTCTACATACTTAATCAAATTTATCAATGCACTTAAAAAAAGTTTGATCAAAAAAATCATAACTATTGGATGAATATCTAGTCGTAAGTTTTTCTCCTCCCCGTATAAACGATTAAGCAGTTGTAGAACTCGAAATTTACTAAATGAGTCATCAAGCAAAAGCGAACGTAGTCAACAAATAAATAATTGTTACCAATAGGTCACATTTTGGACAATAAGCTTCTCAAATTTGCTGCCCTTTGTGAAGAACAATTAACAAATGGTTACATTAAAGAACAACACACACCACTAATGTACTCACATCCCTGAGACGACACTTTGACACTGAACAATTGTGAATTGTATTAACGTATGCCAACATTTGCCCATTTAGAGAAAAAGTAAAGTCAAGCTTATAATTCCATTTATTATCCCATTGAGGCAACAATAAGACCCCGTGTGGTGAGCCGTAATATGCTTTGGTCAGCCTTGGTGTTGGTTTAGGCTGGTGTCAAAAGCGAGATTTCTTCTTGTCCATGAGAAATTTATTTCATGGTAAATCTTAAAGCTTTTCCTTATACGAGCAACACAAGGTATTAAAATTAATAAAAAGTTGGGCTCAGATGTCGGGTTAAATTTCAATCCTGAAGATTCTTTTGTCCGTGTAGGTGGTGGTTTACGCCATTTTCAGAAAAAATTGCAAATTTCTCAAATCTGTAGTTGAAACACGTAATAGAATTTGCAAAATATATGCACCTTGCATATTTGCAACAGTCGAGATTGGCATCATTTTAGGTAGTACACATTTTAAAATAATACAACTATGGGAGTACATAAATCAAACAATTACACAATTGTTGGTGGGTTGTGTAGGTGAGTTATCATCACTTCTTGATCGTGTACGTAAGTAGGTTCGTGTGGGGGAGAAAAAACCGCACAAACGAACCGCAGAGAGAAATAAAATCTAATTTCTTCTTCCAACTTGGGTTTCAAATAATAATTTTAATGGAATTTCTCAGCTCGTTTATGCTCGAATCCTATAAATTCTATTGTCTTATTTAGTCATGCCGTCTGACTGAATCAAGTAAGGAATCACAGCTTAAACTGGTGGAAATGGTTTTCTCTCGTCCCTTGTCTCTCTCTCCCTTCTCGCTCTCTCGGCGAATTTCATTGCGCTGGGTTCGAGCCTTTCTCCCAAGACTTACTTATTAGGATTGCCAGTATTTGGTTACTTTAGATGGTAGCAAGTTCAGCAGTTCCACCAATTTTTGGGTCTCTCTCTCAGAGTGTGTGAGACGTGACTCAATTACACAAAGACAATAATGGAGCTGGAATTAAGTGCAAATCTTGTTCTTCTGAAGAAATGAATGAACCAGTCAAGTCGCATGATCACATTCTAGATGAGAGAATTGCTCATGTGGAAGCTTGTTTGTTTGCTAGCACTCAAAATTACATGTAGGAGAACAGAATGCAAAGTTGGGTAAATTGGAGCTTAATTGCAAAATTCAATTCTTTTTATCATTGATACCAGCCTCAGTCTTATAAGGAATAAGTAGGTGAATTTTGATTGGCAGTCATCGAACCCAGCAAAAAGCCACCCTTTTCGGTGCTCTTAAGCTATACTTGGTATATAATGTCAAGAAGTAATAATCACTCCCGTTGCCGTTGGATAAACATCCAATTAAATTAGAGTACTTATTTAAATGGGTCCACATTCTAGTACAAATGTTTAAAATCTTAATAAAAATGGTACAATCTGATACTGGTTATTTAAGTAGTTGCGCTAATGAAATAATCAATTTAATCATCTTGTTACGAACGATAAGACCATTTTTTAAATTTTATGGCTTTATTTCCAAATTGTACCAATCAAATGTCAAGAACTTAATATAACAAATTAGCCTTCACATAAAAAAATGCATGTGTGACCTGGTCTAGCCGGCCGTGTAATAAATATTCTCTCGCCATACGGATAAAAACTAGGATATGACATTTTCTTAATAATAATGCCCATAAGAGATCAACTGGTGTGAAAAGTTGTCCAAATATTGCCAAATTAGGAGACCTAAAGTGATTAGATTAGCTACTTCTTGAGGTAGTTTAGACCATGGAGGGAACATCATCATGACTTCTGTAACGAGCAGGAGTCCGGCGATAAAGTAAACATTAAGATGGTCATGTTCCCTGTTCTGCTGAGTTGATGAAATAATCCAAAAAGGTTCGGTTTAGGCCTGAGTCGCTCTCCTGGCAAATGGAAATGCTTTAAAGAGAGAGAGGAAAAAAACACGAAAAGAAATCTCCTAATGTCATGGTTTGTGTGCAGCTTGCATGATGGTGTTTAATTAATTGCAAGATTTCTTCTTATGATACGCAACTCTCCCAGGATCATGACCTATCGGGCTGTGTGGTTTGGTTGGTGTAGGTGAACAAAAAAAGTTTAGCAGAGTTTCTCAATTTGTGTGCCGCAACATTTTTATATTAAACCATGTAACACCATTACTCTGCTGCTGGTATGTAACCAGAAGGGGTAGGATACTTACATTTGCTGCCTTTTTTCTAACCGCTAGCTCAGTTACTGCATGATGATAGCGGAGAAAAAGAATTGCAGCAGCAGCAGAAGAAGAAGAAGACGTGGTCAAATGCGTATAAAAATAGCTCCAATTAAGTCAGCTAGGGAAAAAGCTAGACAAATTTTCTAGATTCAGTAGCCGCACAGTACGAGTCACGACCCGACCCGTCAATGAAGAAATTACTCTTATTGTACGACAAATAAATGAGAGCCTAACTTTTCCGGAATTCTCCGTGGTTGTGCAACACATGCAGAGAAATAATGCATTAATAACACTCATGCCCAGCAAAAAAAAAGTCGCCAATAATGGTTGCGTTGAGTTTAGAGGCGTAGACTTGCCACACCCAACTGAAACTAAACTGAC